GGGGATTTGGGGTGGGTTTGGGGCGATTCTGGGTGGAATTCTGGTGATTTTTGGGTGGCTTTGTGTGAATTTTGGGTGGTTTTCTGTGGATTTTGTGTGATTTTGGGTGAATTTTGAGTGGTTTTTGGGTGATTTTGGTCAGTTTTGTGTGATTTTGGGTGGTTTGGGGTGGTTTTTGGGTGATTTTGGGCAGTTCTGTGTGATTTTGGGTGGTTTGGGGGTAGTTTTGGTCAGTTTTGTGTCTTTTTGGTTGGTTTATGGGTGGTTTTTGGGTGATTTTGGTCAGTTTTGTGTGATTTTGGGTGGTTTGGGGTGGTTTTTGGGTGATTTTGGTCAGTTTTGTGTGATTTTGGGTGAATTTTGAGTGGTTTTTGGGTGATTTTGGGCAGTTCTGTATGTTTTTGTGGCCGTTTTAACCGATTCTGGCCGTTTTCCCCCCGTTTGCAGGCCTGGTGCGGGCGCAGCCGCAGGGGCTGCAGCAGCTGGAGGCTCTGGGGGGTCTGGGGGTGCTGGGGGAGCTTTTGGGGAGCCCCCAGCCCCCCCTGAGGGCTCGGGCGGCGTTCCTGCTGCACTGCCTGCTCAGAGAGCACCCCCGGCTGACGGGTGAGCCCCAAAACACCCCAAAATCACCCCAAAATCACCCCAAAACACACCAAAACCCCCCAAAATCACCCCAAAACACCCCAAAATCACCCCAAATTCACCCCAAAACACCCCAAATCACCCCAAATCACCCCAAAATCACCCCAAAACCCCCCAAAATCACCCAAAATCACCCAAAGCACCCCAAAATTGCCCCAAAGCACCCCAAAACACCCCAAAATTACCCCAAATTCACCCCAAATCACCCCCAAATCACCCAAATCACCCCAAAATTGCCCCAAAACACCCCAAAATTACCCCAAATTCACCCCAAATCACCCCAAAACACCCCAAAACACTCCAAAACACCCCAAAATCACCCCAAAACACCCCAGAACACCCCAAAATCACCCAAAAACACCCTAAATTCACCCCAAAACACCCCAAAACCCCCAATTTCACCCCCAAACCCCCGGAATGACCCAAAACCCCCGGAATTCTCCCAAAACCCCCGGAATTCTCCCCAAAACCCCCGGAATTCTCCCCAAAACCCCCGGAATGACCCAAAACCCCCGGAATTCTCCCCGATCAGAGCCGCTGCTCTCTCAGGGTTCGGTGCCGCGGGCGGCGGCGCTGCTGCGATCCCGACACGACGGCGCCCACGAGCACGGCCTGGGGACCCTGTGGGCGTGAGTGAGACCCCTCCCCAAATCCCCCAAACCCCCCAAAATCCCGAATTCCCCAAAAATCCCAAAAATTCCCAAAAATTCCCCCAAAAATCCCGGGGAAAAAACTCAAAAAATCGGAAAAAAAAAAATCAAAAGTTGGGGGGAAAACGCCCAGGAAAGGGAAAAGGGGAGGGGGTGGGGACCCTGTGGGTGTGAGAGAGACCCCTCCCCAAATCCCTAAAATTCCCAAAATTCCCAAAAATCCCAAAAATCCCAAAATTCCCCCAAAATCCTGGGAAAAAAACCCCAAAAATCCCGGGGAAAAAACTCAAAAAATTGGGAAAAAAAATCAAAAATTGGAGGGGAAAACGCCCAGGAAGGGGAAAAGGGGAGGGGGCTGAGACCCCTCCCCAAATCCCAAAAAAATGCCCAAAAAATCCCCAAATTCCCTAAAATCCCCAAATTTCCAAATCCTGGGAGAAAAAACTCAAAAAATTGGGAAAAAAATCAAAAATTGGGGGAAAACGCCCAGGAAAGGGAAAAGGGGAGGGGTTTGGGGTCATTCTGGGGCGGTTTTGGGGGGTTTTGAGTCAATTTTGGGGGGTTTTGATCAATTTTGGGGGGTTTTGATCAATTTTGGGGGGTTTTGAGTCAATTTTGGGCGGTTTTGAGTCAATTTTGGGGGGTTTTGAGTCAATTTTGGGCGGTTTTGAGTCAATTTTGGGCGGTTTTTGGGTGGATTTGAGTGGATTTTGGGTGGATTTTGGGTGGATTTGGGTGGATTTTGGGTGGTTTTGAGCAGTTTTGGGGCAGTTTTGGGCAGTTTCAGGTGGTTTTGGGTGGGTTTGGGTGGATTTTGGGTGGGTTTTGGGCGGTTTTGGGTGGATTTTGGGTGGTTTTGGGTGGTTTTGAGCAGTTTTGGGGCAGTTTTGGGCAGTTTCAGGTGGTTTTGGGTGGGTTTGGGTGGATTTTGGGCGGTTTTGGGGTGGTTTTAGATGAGTTTCTGGTGGTTTTGGGGCAGTCTCAGGTGATTTCAGGTGGCTTTAGATGGGTTTTGGGTGGGTTTTAGGTGGTTTTGGGTGGATTTTGGGTGGTTTTGGGCAGTCTCAGGTGGTTTTTTGTCTGGTTTTGGGTGGGTTTTGGGTGGTTTTAGATGGATTTTGGGTGGATTTTGGGTGGGTTTCAGGCGGTTTTGGGTGGTTTTAGATGGATTTTGGGTGGATTTTGGGCGGTTTTGGGGCGGTTTTTACGCTCCGGGCCAGCTCCGGAAGGCGAATTTTCCCAAATCCGTGCGTTTTTGGCCCAGTTTGGCGTCGGGGAGCCCCGAGGGGCTGCGGCAGTGCCGGGACCCCGCGCTGGGGCTGGAGCCGCTGCTCCGGGAGCGCCGCCGGATCCTGCGGGGCCTCGAGCAGTTCCAGGTGATCCTGGGGCAAAATCCTGCGATTTCGGGCAAATCCCAAAATCCTGCGATTTCCGGCAAATCCCAGCCGGGTTTGGGGCGGGAAAACCACGGGGTCCTGGGGGGAAATTCCTGGAGTTTTGGGGCAAATCCTCAGGGTTTTGGGGCAGGAAATTCGTGGGATTTTGGGGGAAAATCCCGGGGATTGGGGGAGAAGAAAATAGTGGGATTTTGGGGGGAAATCTCTGGAATTTTGGGGCAAATCCTCAGGGGTTTGGGGCAGGGAATTCACGGGGTTTGGGGGGAAATTCAAGGGATTTGGGGGAGAGGAAAACAGTGGGATTTTTTGGGGAAATCCCTGGGATTTTGGGGCAAATCCTCGCGAGTTTGGGGTGGGAAACTTGTGGGATTTTTGGGGAAATCCTCGGGATTTTAGGGGGAGAAAATCCCTGGAATTTTGGGGCAAATCCTCGCGAGTTTGGAGCGGGAAACTCGTGGGATTTTGGGGGGAAATCCTCGAGATTCTGGGGGAGAGAAATTACTGAGATTCTGGGGGGAAACCCCTGGAATTTTGGGGCAGATCCCAAGGGTTTTGTTGGGGGGGGAAAAGCCCGAGATTTTGGGGCAAATCCCAGGGGTTTGGGAGGGGGAAATTCACGGGATTTGCGGGGAAAATTCCCGGAGTTTTGGGGCAAATCCTCGGGGGTTTGGGGCGGGAAATTCGTGGGATTTTGGGGGAAAATCCCCGGAATTTTGGGTGGGAAATTGCTGGAGTTTAGGCGGGGTTGTTTATCCGCGGGGTTTCAGAGGGGGAAACCTCGGGGATTTCAGGGAGAATCTGGGGGATTTTGGGTTAAAAACCCCCTGGAGATTTTTGGGGTGAATTCCCGGGGTTTGGAGGCTGAACCCCCATCCCAAAATTCTCCCCCCCTTGCAGGAGGAGCTGGAATTCTGCGAGCGGCTCCTGCAGCTCTGCTTCCCCGAGGAATCCGCCATGGACCGGTGACCCCAAAACCGCCCCAAATCGCCCCAAAAATCCCGCCCGGGATCCCGGGACCCCCCGGCCCGGGGGGAACGAACGCTCCGGGCCCGGCCCTGCCTGAGGTTTCGGGCGGGATCGGTGACGTCATTGAGGAAAAAAAGGGGAAAAATAAAAAAAAAAAACCCCAAAATTGCCCAAATTCAGCGCCGGGCGCGAGGGGCGGGGTTATGCTAATAAAGAGGCGGTGTTATGCTAATGAGGCGTGGTTATGGTAATGAGCGCGTGCGGCCTCGCCGTTGTTACCGCGGCAACCGCGTCCCCACCGGTGGGCGGGGCTTCCCCGCCGCTCTCGCCTCTCATTGGCCCGCCCGCCTTTCCCGCCGCCGTTCTCGCTTCCCATTGGTCCGCGCGCGCCTCAGCGGCGCCGGTCGCGCTCGCGATTGGCCAGCGGCGGTTCCCGGGGCTCCGCCAGGGCTCCGTGAGGGCTCCGCCATGGCGGCCGCGCTGGAGGAGGCGGTGGGCACCGTGTGCTGGTGGGGGCTGTCCCCGGCCATCGATCTCCGCCTGCACCGTGAGCCCTCGACCCCTCCCCGGGCCCCCTCCCGCTCCTTCCCGCCCCTCCCGGTGACCGCGCTCCCCTCCCGCCGCCCGCAGTGCCGCCGGAACCGGACCCCGCGGCCGAGGCCTCGGTGCTGCTGCTGGGGGCGGCCGAGGGCCGGCACCTGCTGATGACGGCGGCCCGGGCCCGCCGGGGACCCCCCCGAGCCATCACCGTACGGACCGGGACCGGGAGGGGACACCGGGACCGGGATGGGACACCGGGACCGGCAGGGGACACCGGGAGGGGATCCCGGGGAGGGACACTGTGAGGGGACACCGGGCAGGGCGGAGGCGGGGGCGAGGTCCCGGTTCCGGGGTCGCTGTGCCGGTACCGGCGGGCTCGCAGCTCCCGGGCTGGGCTCCTCCCGGTGTTACCGGGGGTCTCCCGGTGTTCCCGGAGCTCTCCCGGTGTTACCGGAGCTCTCCCGGGGCTCTCCCGGAGTTCCCGGGGGCTCATCCCGGGGTTCTCCCGGAGCTCCCCCGGTGTTACCGGCGCTCTCCCGCAGCTGTTCGTGCTCGAGCAGAGCCCCGAGCCCGTGGCCCGGCAGCTCCTGTTCCTCTTGCTGGCGCTGGAAGCCCCGGACCGGCCCAGACCGGCAGGTACCGGTACCGGCACCGCCCGGTGTCCCCTCCGGTGTCCCCGGTGTCCCTCCGTGACCCTCCCGTGTCCCCCCGGTGTCCCCAGCCCGCGCCGCCGCCATCCTGGAGCTGTTCGGTTCCGGGACGCTCCGGGCCGGCACCGCCGCTCTGCTCCGCGGGGCCGCGGGCCGCCTCCGCCGCTGGGTCACTGCGGACCGGCACCGGCACCGGCACCGGGACTGGGATGGGCCCGCGGACCTGCGGCTCATGAAGGTCAGAACCGGGGCTGGGATCCGGTACCGGGGCTGCACGGGGAGCGGGACCGGGATCCGGTACCGGGGGCACTGAGAGGAGCACCGGGCTCTCAGGTCCCGGCTCTGTCCGGTACCGGGCTCTGGGCTCTGTCCGGTACCGGGCTCTGGGCTCTGTCCGGTACCGGGCTCTGGGCTCTGTCCGGTACCGGGCTCTGGGCTCTGTCCGGTACCGGGCTCTGGGTCCCGGCACCATGCCGTACCGGGCTGTCCCCCCGCAGCACCGGGACCGGGACGCGCTGGAGGCGGTTCTGCGGCGCTGGGAGCGGGCGCTACCGGAGCCGGTACCGGGGGCCCAGGCGCTACCGGAGCCGGTACCGGGGGCCCAGGCGCTACCGGAGCCGGTGCCGGGACCCCCGGGCTGGGACCGGCGGCTGCGGCGG